CAAGGTCCTACATGGGGAGTAAGTGCACAGTGACTTCTGTTGTTAATTTAACAATTAACACTATTATTTATTGTCGCTCCCCCTCTTCGTGGAGGAACGACACAGGACCCTGTGCTGTTCTTTCGTCTGCTCGGCCCTCCCCGGGTTTGCTGCTGGTTCTTCCCGGGTTGGCTACTATCCCTTCCACCTCCGTGGAAGGGCAGTTCCCCCTGGCCACATTCCCCACTTCCGCAGGGGAGCGGCACACCGCCGGCCGGCTCTTCTCGGGGGCTGCACAGGTGTTCCTTCAGCTAGATGTTCCCCTTAGATGTTCCTGGTGCATGCCGTCTCTCTCCTCCTTTATAGTCCTCCTCCGCCAATCCTAACTCGGCTGCCCACACGCCGAGTACGCTGCTCTCCAATCAGGAGCAAGTCCTACAGTTTATTGGCTGAACTGGAGGCAGCTGCGTAGAAGCTGTTTTCTCCTCTCCCAGCGCCATATTGTGGGAGAGCAGATGCATAGAATAAGTCTTAATTCCAGTAACTCAGTCTAGTCCGGATTGTTCCCCACAGATCCCCCTTTCTTTTTATTTATTTTTTTTTTTGGCGTTGATACGCGCCTGTCTTCGGTGTCCCGCGGCACACACTCTGCTCTGCTTGCTAGAGTTGCCACAGGTTCTTACAAGTCCTATCAATCAGGCAAACCGAATCCGGGTCCTCTCTTCGCCATGTTGTGAGGAGGTTTTTAGGCGCTGATGCGTGCCTGTGTTTGGTGCCCTGCAGCGCATGCTCTGCTCTGCCTGCAGGGGCTTACAAGCCCTAACAATCAGGCAAACCGAATCCAAGCCTTCTCATTGCCGTATTGTGGGGGAGACTTATTAGTGTTGGTTCGTGCCTATCTTCAGTGACCTGCAGCTCATACTCTGGTCGAGCTGCTTGCTGGTGCTTACCACCTTAATCAGGCAGACCGAATCCAAGCCTCCTAATTGCTGTATTGTGGGGAGGCCTTACTGATGTTAATTCGTGCCTGTCTTCGGTGACCTGCGGCGCATAAGCTGCTAGCCGCCCGCAGGTGCTCATCGCCTCACTTAATCAGGCAGACCGAATCCAAGCTCTCACATTGCAGTGTTGTAGGGAGGCCTTTCTATTTCTCTATTTCTCTATCTCCGGGCATTCCTATTTCTCCCATTTTACTTCTATCTTCCAGCATTCCTATTTCTCTCATTTTACTTCTAAACTTCTGTTTCTCTTATCCCCGCGGCTTCCCGGCGGCGCTCGCCCCGAGGCTGCTTCTCGGCACCTTGCCCCGCGGCAGCTTCACGGCTCTGCGCGGCTTCCCGGCGCCTCGCCCCGCCGACAGGTTCCCGGCTCTGCGCGCATGCTCCGCGGTCTCCACGCACTTCGCGCCCGCACCACGGCCTCACGCCAGCCCCGCGTTCCTTATCTATTCACGCCCCGTGCTCTCTGCACGCGGCGGCTTCCGCGAGTCACACAGCGTAGCTTACGACTCCACCACTAGTATTCAATCCAAGTTCCCCGGACTAACCTGGCGAATTCCAACCTGGCGGCTCACGTCTCTGGTTCCAGATCTTCGCCTCTTGCTCCCCGGGGTGACTTGAATTCCAAGCTGGCTTACGTCTCCGCCTCGGCCTGCACTCGCGGCTTCATCCTCCCTAACATTTTTCTCTACCCGGTATGTTTCCCTAAGTTTTCTTCCTACAATATTCTTCTCATTTCTCCTGGCTACTCCCCACAGTCCGTATCCGAGTCCAAGCCTCCTCCAGGTTTCACTTTCGCTTTCAATCTCCTAGCTTCCCCGCCATAGTCCGCATCCGAGTCTATGAAAGCTTTCACTTTCGCTTTCAATCCTAACTTCTTTCCCACAGTCCATATCCGAGTCTATGCCTAGGCTTTCAATAGCTTCTTCCGGCACCTTTTCCGTCCAGCTTTTCCCTAGGCTGTTTGCTAGTCTCTCTCTCCGGTATTTTCCCATTTCTTTCCTCCTAAGTTTCCTATCCGTCCTAGGTTTCCTATCCGAGCTAGGTTTCCTATCCGAGTCACTTCTTCCCTCCTAAGTTTCCTATCCGAGTCACGGCACCATTATGTCGCTCCCCCTCTTCATGGAGGAACGACACAGGACCCTGCGCTGTTCTTTCGTCTGCTCGGCCCTCCCCGGGTTTGCTGCTGGTTCTTCCCGGGTTGGCTACTATCCCTTCCACCTCCGTGGAAGGGCAGTTCCCCCGGCCACATTCCCCACTTCCGCAGGGGAGCGGCACACCGCCGGCCGGCTCTTCTCGGGGGCTGCACAGGTGTTCCTTCAGCTAGATGTTCCCCTTAGATGTTCCTGGTGCATGCCGTCTCTCTCCTCCTTTATAGTCCTCCTCCGCCAATCCTAACTCGGCTGCCCACACGCCGAGTACGCTGCTCTCCAATCAGGAGCAAGTCCTACAGTTTATTGGCTGAACTGGAGGCAGCTGCGTAGAAGCTGTTTTCTCCTCTCCCAGCGCCATATTGTGGGAGAGCAGATGCATAGAATAAGTCTTAATTCCAGTAACTCAGTCTAGTCCGGATTGTTCCCCACATTTATGATGTCAGTGATCACCCGAGGTTCTTGTCATGAGCTGTCAAAAGCTATGGAAGTCTTTTGTGACCACGAACTCCATCAATATTTGGACAATATTGCAAAGTGGAAGTTCTCTCCTCCCTTTAAAAAAAAGAATACATCCTTTTTTTGATGGCCACTTCTTTCTGCTGGGGTCTTACTCAGAGAGAACCTTCATATAAAACATTTTTTTGCCACAGTGTCTTGGCTTTCCATGCCTGAAATGCTCTCATGGGTTTTCAGCCAGACCAGGAAAACTTGAGGGCTGATTCTGAGGTCAGAGTGTTATTTAAAATGATTATCATTTTATAAGTCTGCTGTGTGGACTGTTTCCCATATTGGAACATTCTCTCCTTTTTAATTCTATCTATTATTATTACCAGGCACTTGATTCTATTTACATGATCACTTTAACATTTAAATCAGTAAGCAAAAGAGTTACCTGCATGTCCATGTTTATTGCAACTCAAATCACAGTAGCTAAGAAACAGAATCAACCTAAATGCCCATCAACTGGGAAAGCCAAGACCCTGTGGCAAAAAATATCCTATACAAAGAAGCTCTGTGAGATCTCAGTGGAAAGCAGGGGCCATCACAGAAGGATGTACTTTTCTCTGAAGGGAGGAGAGAATTTCTACTTTGCTTATGGCTGTATCCAAATACTGATGAAATCTATGGTCACAAAAGGCTTCCATAGCCTTGGCAGCCCATGGCAAGAACCTCGGGTGATCATTGACATCATAAATAAGAGTGTTAATTGTTAAAGGAACAACAGAAGTCACTGTGCACTTACTCCCCATGTAGAACCTCTGTCCTTATTGAGTTGTACTATGAGAATTAACTGCAAAACTTGTTCTCAAACTGTACTCTATATGTTGTGTGTGTGTGTGTGGGTGCAAACCATTTAAATCTGTACTTAACATAGATTTGGTCCTCTTTATATAAAACTAAACTAAAAATGAACCATAATTAAGAAGGGAATGAGAGAGGGAGTAGGAAGTGGGATGGGAGTTGGGGTGAGAGGGTAGGTAGGGGGAAAGAGCCACTATATTCCTAAAGTTGTACCTAAATTTGCATTCATTAAATAAAAGCTTAAAAATGCCTATAAATTTAGGACTGGATAAAGAAATTATTGGATATGTACACTATGGAATACTACACAGCAGTTAAAAAAAAGAAATCCAGGCTTTTGCAACAAAATGGATGAATCTGGAAAACACAACACTTAGTGAAATAAGCCAGTCCCAAAGGGACAAATACCATATGTTCTCCCTGATCAATGAGAACTTACAGAACACCTAAAATGAAATCTGTAGAAATGAAATTGTCACTTTGAGAAGGGATGACTTGAGCTGCCCTTGTATTGACTCTCAAGGAACAGTTTCTTTTTTTTTGTTTTGTTTTTTTTTCTTGATACTATTTTTGAACTCTTTACTTAACATAGAGTTAATAGTATGTGTATAAAGTCAATGGAAAATAGATCTTAGTTAAAAAATAAGAGTGAGAATAAGAGAGGGAGGAGGAATTTTGTAACTGTAAAGCTGTAACTTTGTAACTGTATAGTTCTGCATACATTCCTATGGACTTCCTTCTTAGAGTACAGTTTAAAAACTTACCATGGAACTCCAAATTCCATTAAGTTTGATGGTAAAAATGCCACCTTAATTGTTAAAGTGATCATATTAGAACTTACAGATAGGATTAAGTGTTAAAGTGATCATATTTTTCTTTTAATATATGCAATGACAAATTTTTGCTTTATTTTATAATCCCAAGCTTAACCCTCCACTAAATAAATAATTCAACAAATAGTAAGTAGAGCCTAGGGTGATTACTGATGCCATAAACAAGAGTGTCAATTTGTTAAGTCAACAACAGGAGTCACTGTGCACTTACTCCTCATGTAGGATCTCTGTCCTTAGTGTGCTGTACATTGAGATTTAATGCTATAACAGGTACTCAAACAGTATTTTTCACTTTATGTTTCTGTGTGGGAGCAAACTGTTGAAATCTTTACTTAATGTATGCTAAACTGATCTTCTGTATATAAAGAGAATCGAAAATGAATCTTGATGTGAATGGAAGGGGAGAGGGAGTGGGAAAGGGGAGGGTTGCGGGTGGGAAGGACGTTATGGGGGGAAGCCATTGTAATCAATATTCTGTACTTTGGAAATTTATATTCATTAAATAAAAGTTAAAAAAAAAAAAAAGAGAAACCACTGCTCCTCAAGAGAATAGACAGGGTTATAAACAAGAACCAAATCTCAAAATGTCAATTTCACTCATATACATTACATAATCAGATGGCATCATAGACTTTGTTTAAAAGTTAGAAATCACATTATATTGAGTAATTAATAGGCAACTAAATATTCCATTGGCTACTACAGTAGCAGATATGCAAATGAGTTATTCTTACCTCCACCTTTGTTCGATAAAGAATGAGTCGTTTAAGGCTGCATAATTTGGCAATGTGGTTGAAAGCTTGAGGTGGTAGTTTATCACAGGATGAGAGGTTTAATTCCTGCAGATTTGGACACATCTCAGAAATAACCTCCAAGCAAGTTTCATTCAGGAAGTGACTACAAGATAATTCAAGGCGTACTAATTCAGATCCACAAACCTTCAGAAACCTGTAAAAACAAAAAAAAATTCAATGTGAATTTTATAAAATTATAGGATATTTTCCATTAGAACTTTGGAATTATATCAACTCTAAGTAAACACACTCAGAAGAATAGATTTCTATTACAGAATATACAAAATTTGTTTTGCTTAAATTCTCATCTACTGCATACTGAAATATGCACAGTTTGGGTAAAATAAATTAACCTAATAGAATAGATTGACATCATATAAAATATCAGCTAATCGAAGTGAAAAACAAACAAAGCAGAGAGTACTTTTCTCCTTACCTGTTAATTCACATATGAGTTGATAAAATCAATAAACAAAACATAGCAAAGCTCTAAACTCTTTGTGCAAGTAGCTGAATAATATATTATGCTCCCAAGTAGCTGGATAATATATCTTGAACACTACACACAAAAGGACAGCTTTTATTAAGTGACCTCAGAAATTAGACAAGATTCCTCTAAGAAAAAATGTTAGGTTGGTTTAACTGCATTTTTGTGATATAGTCCTTGTAGCTGTTACTATTTAGAAGGCTGACTGCTTGATACGGAAATTATTAGAAAATATTCACCACAGCCTAATATAAAAACATGAAGATAATCCAAGGGGAAAGATACAAAATGCTTTATGAGAGTAGAAATCATTGTGTTTATCTTAGTCACAAAATAATCTACAAGGAAATGTGCATCTAGGAGTGTTTCAATCTGGAATTTTAACAACTAAGCAAATGGAATCCTTAAATATTACATCAATTAATTTTGTCCAAGTCTCTTTTCAAAATTTTGACCATCAGGGTCCCATTAGTAATATAGTTAGTTACCGCTTCTCGGCCTTTTGGCTAAGATCAAGTGTAGTATCTGTTCTTATCAGTAATATAGTTAGTTAATTTATGCCAGTTTTTTTTTTCCAAAATGATTTTACAAGCTTACAAATCAATATACAAAACAAAATTGAACCACATGTGTAAATGAAGGAAGTAACACTGTAGTACCAGTCAAAAGATGAATTTTTACCCTGTTCTGATGCTTCCTAGCAGTGACCTAGGAAGAGGCATTCACTCAAATCGCAGCATTTCCTCAGCAATAGCAGGCGGACTTGAATACATAACAGTACTTACCACACTGCCTTGCCGTTCTGAACACCAAATAATACATGAAGGCAGTTTGTAAAGCTCAGAGCATCCCCACCAATATTAACATGTGAATTGAATATTGGCCAATTCACACTTAAACAACAGAATTTGGTTGCTGCAAATTTACTTTAAATACATAGATATCTCAAAAAGTTTGTGGAAAGTGGAATTAAAAGATGTTTATTTTAGTGCAACATTTTTGAAATCCATGCATAAAAGGGGTCTTCACAAAGTTATGGGAAATTCCATATTATAAAAAAACTATGTATGGATTTCAAAAAATTTTTGCATCCAAACCTATCTCTCAATTCCATTTTGTACAAAGTTTCTGAAGTATCTTCTTGTTGCAAATAACCCAGTAACCTACACATCTGATTTATAGCTGAACATCCATTTGTCCCTAGTCCATTGCAGCAGGTGTTCCGCTTTCTAACAGCATCCTTCCTTTTCAAGTGCTAGATTCAATGCCCTCTCAGTACTTGTATCATGTCACTTATTTGTGACATTTCACACAACCGTCCACTCTTCCTTTAAAAGGGAAGCTCCTCATGTGAATCCCTCTTTGGGATGTCTTCCAGCCCATCTCATTAGTTTCCTTTGCTAGTTGAGTTAGCTGATTTTATTTTTCATTTTATTTGAAAGGCGGGGGGGGGGGGGAGCAGAGAGGGAGGGAGGGAAGGAGGGAGAGAAGGGAGGTCTTCCGCGTGCTGGTTCCCCTCCCAAATGCTCTCAAAAGTCAAGGTTAGGTCAGGCTGAAGCCAGGAGCTAGGAATCCAACTCAAATCTCCCACTGCCCACCGAGGCACATTAGCAGGAAGTTGGATCATAAGTTAAGCATTCAACCAGGCCCTCTGGTGGGGGATGCAGGCATTCCAGACAGGGTCTTAAGTGCTATACCAAATGCCTACCCCATATTAGCTATTTTTTTAAAAAAATATTTATTTAAGTGTCAGACACACACACACACACACACAGAGAGAGAGAGAGAGAGAGGGAGACAATCTCCTATCCACAGGTTCACTCTCCACATGTCCTCAATGGCCAGTGATGGGCCAGGGATGAACCTCAACAACATAACTTTCAATTCTCCTTTTCCATGACATTTTAAAATTACCCTTACAAAGCAGGAAAGGGCAATAGGAGGTGTCAAGGATGGAGAGAGTGGTCAGAGAAGGCCTAATGAGGTGGTAAGAACGAACTAAAGGAAGGGAGAGGGTGAGCAAACACTCATCTGGAGGAAAAGTGTTCCAGGCAAAGGGAAGGGCATGTACAATGGCTCTAAGGCAGGATAACAGGCAGAGCAGGGCACAGTTTGGAAGCTAATTCAGGAGGCACAAAGTCAGGGAGGGAGAAGAAGGCAGTGCAGTGAGAGAACAGTTCATACCGTGTGCTATGACAAAGACCTTGGCTTTTGAGGGAGATGGAATTCCCCACAACCTACTCGTATTTTGCTTGGATCACTCTGGTTTTTGTGTGGAGGAACAGACTGAAGATGAATGGACCACAAACAGGGGGACCACTCCCACATCTTGTAGCATTCAGAGAATACCTGGCTCCAGGTAATAATGTTGATGTTGTGATACACCCTCAGATTCTGCATCTACTCCAAAGGTAGACAACATATACTAAATTATGATACCTCCTATATATAGAATCAAACTCTGCTATCATCTATGTCCCACTCATCATGTCTGTTAATCACAATTTCCTTCCTCACTAATTTTTATACTGATTTTCATAACCCGTTTCAAATTCTTTGGCAATCAAAACAGATCCTTGGTGAACCCAGCACTTAGCACATGTCAGGTACATAAAAAAACCTGTGATGTGAATTAGTTGCGTGAATCTCTTGGGTTTGAAAACTCACCTGATAAGTTTAATACTCCTCTAGTCATGAACAAACTAATTTCTAGTGACTAAAGATATTTTTCTCTTAATAGGGTCAGACTATTCCCAAGAAATATAATGAAATTAAATTTTACTTTAAGTATATACCATAGTTATGGGAAATTTTTTCATTATTCATAAACTAACAATCTAGAAATATATGTGAAATATAAGAGAAGTAAAGAATACCCTATTTTGGCTGGCGCTGCGGCTCAATAGGCTAATCCTCTGCCTGCGGTGCCGGCACACCGGGTTCTAGTCTCTGTCGGGGCGCTGGATTCTGTCCTGGTTGCCCCTCTTCCAGGCCAGCTCTCTGCTGTGGCCCAGGAAGGCAGTGAAGGATGGCCCAAGTGCTTGGGCCCTGCACCCCATGGGAGACCAGGAAAAGCACCTGGCTCCTGCCTTTGGATCAGCGCAGTGCACAGGCCACAGCGCAGTGCTGGCTGCGGTGGCCATTGGAGGGTGAACCAACGGCAAAGGAAGACCTTTCTCTCTGTTTCTCTCTCTCACTGTCCACTCTGCCTGTCAAAAAAAAAAAAAAAAAAAAGAAAAAGAAAGAAAAAAAAGAATACCCTATTTTGATTGTATAAGTCTAAAATTATTTGCAGATTACAAAACGTAGTGGGCATATTAAATCAGAATTAAGTTTTAGGCATCTTATTTCTTAAAGTTCATCATTTGACAAAGTCCTTAGTTCTACACTTCTTTTACTTATTTGATTTAGAATGGTTTGATTTCCTTGTTCTTTTCACTCCCATGACTCAACACTTCCCCTCCAAAGAATCTACAGAATGCTATCAAGCAGATTAGGAATCCAACTGTTCATAAACAGCAGACGAACTTTCCAAGTTGACTTAATGAATGAAATAATTTAAAAGCAAAATAAAGAAAATGACTCTCTCTCTCTCTCTCTCTCTCTCTCTCTCTATATATATATATATATACATACACACATATATATACTTTCTTCCTTATTCTCTAAGATTCCAATACTGCATATTTTTACTTGGGCCGAATATTTGGACAATACTGCCATATTCTCTTTTTCCAGTTGACAAGGTCTGTACCATCTACCATTTCATAATATCTCCTTCCCAAGAGGTGAAAATAGCAACAGACTTAATTAGCTGAACACAACTTACTTCTTTCCCTGATGCTCCTCATGTAAATTTTTTTAACACATAATTACATACATGTTTTTATCTTGATCAACTATTTATTCCTCATAACTATGACACTGGTCCCCTGAAAGAAGAACTACAGTTCATTTGCTTCCTGTAGCCTATTCATGCTTTATACTGAGAGTTTTCTGAAAAAACCTAAGTTCATATAAACAATCCTGAACTAGGTCCCCTGCTATGAGGAAAGCCATCTCTGGAGAGAGAAATAAATTGCTTATCCTTATGAGGTGAATTAATTTGTCCAAAGTAATACTAATACATAAGAAGTAATTTACTAAGTGGTAACTAGTACCCTAAATAATTAAAATCACACGAATGAACAATTTATTCTAAGTTTACTCATCACAAAATAACAGGCAATAATCCTCACAACCTCCCTGAAGTATAAAGGTATGGGGAGCATTAGATATAATATCAATAGCATATGATCCCTAATCTTACATTTTGTTAGCTGATCCTCAAGTTTTACAAAGCAGTATATTAATATAAGATATTTTTAACCTCAAGTAACTTGGAACATTACTTAATGTATGTGATCCAAAATAAAACAATAAAAACAAACTTTCCACTAAGCTGTGTATGGTACTATCCACCAACAGTACAAAGAGGGAAAAGGAAAGTCTTAAAGCTGTCTCTGCTCTCTAGGATTTGACAGTCTAAAATAGACAGCTATATAAAATCTATCCCAGCAACTGGATAAATATCTGAATGGGCAATAAGCTTTTTATTTCATAAATTTGTAGCTCTGTGTCACAATATCTAATAAAGTTTTCGAATCTAGAAACTATGCAGTAACACT